TTCTCCGGAAAATCATCAGGTTAATGATGACCTTGAACATACTGTGTCAATAAATATTAATATTTTTTAGTTTGCTGGCAGGTTGTTCATCGGATCGAAAATATAGTTTTCGCATTAAAAAAAAAACTTTTACAAAATTCATAAAATTCTAAAAAAAGCAAAAAATTATTGCACGATCATGAAACTTCGTGAGTCATAAAATAACAATAAAATGCAAAAACGGTATATTTTTCTGGGTCTATCCGATAAAAAATGTGTCAAAAACCTTAAAAAAGTCGATAATTTCGACTAAAATAACAGAACGTCTAGAGTCTAGAGATCCAGAGATCCATCCAGTAATTCTAATCATCATCGGGTTTGTCCTCAACCTCGTGTCACCTCTCTAACACCCATCCTCACCAAAAACAAACTCTTTCCCAATGATTATCACGACAAATGTCGTCTCGAGAGGAAAAAACCAGCGATAGGAGATAATAAAAAGTAGAAAACTAGCAAAATTGAGGGTATGGAGTATTAAAAATATATAAATATGTTTTGAGATATGTAATGGGAGGGAAGAAATCTGGTGCTTAGTGACCTCGGAGGAGCGGCGTGGGACCAACATGGTAGTGAAGGTTGTCCGGTCTTTTTCAACGCTGGCCAGAGCAACGACGCGTTTAACGAACGAGGTCGCTAAAGCAATGGAAAGGAAGTTTGTCCAACCTCTCTTTACCTCTCCACCCTTTCCACCACCCCCCATACAACCCCCCTTCACCCGACCATTTACCTCTTCGACAGCAACGTGACGTGAAAATCAAGTGCTCCGAGAAGATAATACAAATTTTTGGCAAAAAAAATTAATCGAAATGAGAGAAAATTCCTCAAGAAAATGTGGTAAACTTATGGTTGCACAATTGCAATTTTTTAGAGATCCCTTTTTACCTCATATCTCGAAATTGAAGGGAGATATCGATTTTTTCGTTATTACCTTTTTTGTAGCTCTCATTCTTTTTTGTAAAAAATGTTGGGGTGAAAAATTCGATGTGCTCTTTGGATTCCGAGATATTGGCTGAAAACTGGCCCAAAAAAAATCACTTGTTATGGTTTACCACAAAATTTACAGTTTTGGAAATTTCTATTTGCTCTGGATGTTTATTGGCCAAATCTGGTTTTTACAACTCGATTTTTTTCGCTAAATATTCGCAAAATCGTTAGCGCCTGTATTTCCACCTGTTTAAAATGAGTGAATTTCAATCAATATCAAATCGCGCAGACCACGACGATGAAAAAAAAAATCCGTCTATATTTTCAACACACAACAGAAAAATGTATTAAAAAAAAAATACCCAAAACAAGGAATGACAAGAATCTCAAAAAAAAAACTCTCAAAAGTAGTTCTGGGAAAAAAAAATAAAGAAATATGAAAAAAAGTACGAGAAAGGGACGATAACGAAGAGAAGACAGCAAACCCCAAATAAACAAAATTTTTCCCTTTCCCTCCTCCGAATACCCCTTCTCGTGGAATTGTTGATATGACTGTTGGTCAGTATCTCACTGATGCTGCAGCCGATGTTTTCAGGTGAGTATCACCTCCTGACTTATTCCAACGAGCGATCAAACCCCATAAACTTCCCTGAGTACAACCCGACGTGCATTCCCACCTGTCCAAACGCACAGTGGAAAATTTCATTAATTAAAAAAATTTGATGTTGCTTAAAAATGGTGAGAGAAGTTGAGGGACTGGAAAATCTGGAAAGTCCAGAGGAAATCTTGAATATACGTGAGAGGGCATGAGGTTTCCGCGTTGGTTAGTAGAATCTCGGAGCAGTGAGCGGCCTTGACTCTGGCTTGCATACCCACCTTCCCACCATTTCCCACCAGCCTCTTACCCACTCTATCCTTCTTCTTACTTTTTTTATTCCTTTATTTCCAACATCTTGGCATCCTTCTCCGACGATCTATTCCACTCCCCGACGTATTACAGCGTCCACGTAGGAGTTGAAACAGTCCAGGATTCACTCGAGTGCATCGCACTGTTTCACCCATTTTTTCTAATACCAGTCTATTCTGTTCTACCTCACTTTTTGTCTTTAGGGTACTCACTGCCATCGATTCTTTATCTTTATTATTTATTGAGGGATATTATTCCCTTTATTTCTGTCAGTTTATCGGGATTTGAGGCCTAATTAGATGATGGAAAAAATAATACAATCATATTTCGTCGATTGATCGTATGATTCGTATGTACAACTGTTCAATGAAATTCTGTTTTTTTTTTCAGGAATTTTTTGAAATTGGGAAAAAGTTTCTGAAAATTTGGAAAATCGTTGAAAGTTTTGGTGATAGTTCCACTGGAATAGTTTTTATGTAATCATTATTAATTGATGTATTTTTTATAGAAACTATTGGGGAATGTTTTTTAATTATTCTGTTTTTGCAACATTGCAATTGCTACAAAAAATTCAGTCAGCTACAAACGAAATTTCAATGATTAATTCCATATTCCCTTTCTGTGAGTCAATTATTGGTGAGTTCCAATTTTTTTGGCCCTTGCTTTGATCTCTTCAGTTCTTTTTTAAAATCATTTGTAAATCCATTTTATCGTTTATTATTTTTATTGATCATGAGTTTTCGAGAAAAATTGCTAATTATGCATCTGCTCTCCTAAATCATTCATATTTTTTCAATAAACCCATTCCTTCCCCAGATGTTGATGCAATAATTTCTATGAAATTGTTTATTTAAATAAGAAGGCCATTCCACAATTAATTTTCATTAAATTTGTAAAAATGATAGACTGATGTTTATCAACTACAAAAATCGAGAGACTAAACCCCAAACCCTCACCTAGAATTCGATATTCACTTCGACATTAGTCCCAGAAAATACCTAAATGTCTACTAATCTAGGGAATGCGGAGAGCCAGGAGCGATTGATAGATAATTCCAGTGATCGGAGTCAGTAGAATACTGAGATGGAAATCTAAGAAATGGATATAGATATAAGGCATAGTGTGGCGATAGAGAAAAGTCAATTGAATGTACTGGTCATCGCCTATGGCACGTTCTGCAAGAGTCATTGCGCAAGAAAATTACCAGTCAGCCCTGGCCTTGCCCGCCAGTCCGCAACAAATGCTTCAAGACATCAACAGTATGTGCCTGCTTGTGGCTCATACGTATCCACCATCTATGAGGTGAAGGGAAAATAATATCACACAACCAGGCAACTCACCACGAAACAATTACGGAAATTTTTTATTATTCTGTGAAGATGACAATTCGCTACTCCAAAAAGGGAGCTGTCTTCTTTTTTTCAAAAATTCCTTCATCATTGAAATTAAATGCTCAAGGATATCATGGATTTGTTACATAAACTAGTGGAGCCTGATCATGTATACCCTTTTTGTGATCAAATGAATTTTTTATATTCACTTTAAAATAATTAGTAATGATAAAAAATTGTCAGTAAAAATTGAAACATGAGGATGAGTGAGTTTCATGAACTTTCCAAAAGTAGTTTCCGTCACTTTCGATCCGAGAAAAAAATAAAATTCTTTCTATAAGAAAGATGAACTCAGAAATTAAGAAGAGGAATATAAAAATGTATGAAATTTGGAGTTCAATGACCCCTGCGATATCTTACTGAACAATTCTCGAGTTTTTATTCAGAAAAAATAGTGTAACCTTGATGGATCAATGCGTGCAATTTTCGTCAGTCAACCGCAAGAACATGTGTATTGAATTCTATAAACCATCTGTGCAATTCAAATAACGTCCAACGAATTTTCAAATAAATTTTTCCATTGATTATGTATCCGATCGGAATAACCGCCAATGGAAGAGAGATATTTGATGTCACGTGGTACACCTTACAGGGCTTTAAGTCTGTAAAGTTCGGTGAAACGTCATGTC